AATAAAAGAAATATTCTATATTCTACAAGTAATTCAAAATAATTTATAGATTCAACAAAATCATAAAAGTATAAAAAAATTGATGTTTCAATGCTATCTTATTATATATTTAAACTACTCTTAATTAATTATAGTGGTATTGTATTACAAAAAATATTGCTTAAGAATACATTGAGCACTTGGATGTAAGAGATAAATTGGAAATTATAATAATAAGTTCTTAAAAATTCTAATAGAATCCTTAATAAATCTCAATTAAACTTCAACAATTCTAATCAAATCTTAATCAAATCCAAATGAAGTCTTAAAGAAATTATAGAAGAAGTATTAAAAACTCCTAAAGAATTTCTAAAGAAATCATAATTTTTTTATAAAAGAACATAAATAAATAATAAAGATGCCTTAAAATTATCAAAAAAATAAATCCTATGTAAATCCTAAGTAAACCTTAAAAAAATTCCAAACAAATCCTAAATAAATCCTAATAAAATCTTAAATAAATCCTAATGAAATTAAAAAAAATCCTAAATAAATCCTAATATAATCTTAATCAAATTATAATACGATCCTAATAAAATCTTAAATAAACTCTAAAAAAACCTTAAGTAAATTCTAACCAAATTCTAATAAAATTCTAAATTCTAAATTCTAAATAAAATTTTAATAAAATTTTAAATAAAATTCTAATGAAATCCTTATAAAATCTTAAATCCTAAATCAAATTCTAATAAAATATCAAATTCTAAACCAAATTCTAATGAAATCCTATTCAAACCTTAAATCTTGAATAAATCCTTAACCAATTTTGTATTAAATTGAAACCTCAACAGCTAATAATTTAACCATAGACTTTTACTCAAAATTTAATATACTTCTCAATTACTTAGTTGAAAGCAAGGACAAACAATTTAAAGAAGAATAAACTTATTAATAAAAGATAAATTCTATAATCCGCCTGGACATCAGTTGGCATCCTTATCCAACCTTGATGTTAATTTTAGAGCCAATATCTTTTGAATTCACTATCTAATGGCTTTTAAACTTTTCTCAATTGTTGGAATTTAAGTCATTTATTAGTTACAAAATGTAACTGGCAAATTGCTACAAATCTTAAAAATCTTCATTGATCCTCTAAACTCCAATTTTTAAGATCCCTATATTTTGATATTTAATAAATTTTAAATTATTTTATTTATCAATATTAAATTTATAACAACTATTTAAAAAAAATAGTCACTCAATCATAAAATTTTATTTTTAGATCATTTATTAATTTCAAAAAATTCTCTAATATATAAAATATTTATATTCTTAATATCCAAAGTCCCCTAAAAAAGTAAAAAAAATTACAAAGCCTTTACAAAGTCATTACAAACTAAAAATCTTTCAATTAAATGCTCAAAGAATCTCTTTCTAGTCTTCTATCGAATCTTGCTCTCTAGTCAATCAAAGAATTTCTAAATTGCAGTAGATGTGCAATTTTGTGCCTTGGGATTTGATTTCAACTCAAGTTCATAATTGGTCCTCTCTAGATATTAATTCTTGGTTTTTAAGGTAGTTTTTGCTACAAATTATTCTTAAATTCCTTCTAAAGATATCTATATTAGTTATTTTTCTTATTTATTTTAATTAGCTTCATTTTTGCTTGTACAAAGTAAATAGAGTCCTTTTTGCAAGGAAGCAATATTAGCATTTATTAGTTTTACTACCTCTTTGACTAATATCTATACTTTTAAAATAATTTTTTATAATATTTTTGATTTAATTCTTCTATAATGTTTTTCTTTCGCTAATATTGGTACTACAATATAACAATGGCTAGCCATATTTATTTTAGTGGCTACTTATTATCCTATTCTAATTTTGTCTAACTTAAATATCTAATTTTTAGATGGATTGAGTATTTTTAGCTTATTTTTTATCTTTTTGTTATATTATTTGGATTTTAATTTGATATAGTTAGGATGTCTAATTCTTAAATGGATTTGATATCTACAACTTATTAAAGATTTTTTGGTCCAAATCTTCCTAGGATATTAATTTTATCAATCAACATCTATTGCTAAGTTAACTAAGTCGATTAATATATATATATATATATATATATATATAGTTTTATAAAGTATAAGTATTAAATATAATTAAATATTTTTTTGATTTTTTTTAAAAAATATATTCAACAACATGTTATATTTAATTAAAAATATTCTTACATAAAAAACTATAAGTGAGAGTATTTTGACAAAATATACTAGTATATACATTAAAATAATATTTTTTAATTAAAAATTATTTGTTTTTGAAACAAAAATATCTAATTTGAACTAAACTATAATTCTTTAAACCAAAATGCTGTAATAAAATCAAAACTAATATATGCTTATTTGCAACAAAATTTAATATTCATAGAATTTTTTTATTAGTTTTAGTTTAATTTTGAAAAAATAATTATTGTACAATTACGAGATATAAAAATTATATTATAATGGTATTATATTCAAGAATTATTGTTATTTTTAGTATAATACATTTTTTATAAAATAGCTAATTCATAGGCATTGATTCATTTTAAGCTTTGAACTATTCTGCTATATCATTCAAGTTTTATATAATAAAGTTGCAATTTTTTAAAAAATATTCTTATTGAAGAAAAAAAGAAGATCTATCTACTATGACAAATTCTAATAAGAGAGTTATTGCAATCTTTGAAAGAAAATATATTACATCTTATTAATACAAAATTTCTTATGTATATATTTAATATATAATATATATAGTTTGGCTAAGTTATAATTATTAAGAAATATTTTTTCAATTCGTACATTGAAAAATAATTGTTTTTCTATAATTTTTTTAAATTTGTGGTCTTTAAATTTTCATAGTTTGAAATATGAAATTTTTATATAAAATTAATTTACCTATTAAAATAAATTATTTCAAATCACCTATATATTATTTTTTATATTATTATTTTAAATATATATAAACATTTTAATCATTATAAAATTTTAGATTTTTTTTAAAAAAAAATGAAATCTATTATATATTTATAATAATGGTATTTAAAAAATAATACTACAAACTAAAATTATAAAAAAAATACGTATACCTATCAAAGACATGAATCATAAAAAATAAAATCTTCAATACAATCTTGTTTCACTCAATATATATATATATATATATATATATATATATATTCAAAGATAATAATATGTTAAAACTAAAATGGCTATTGCCAAAGACAAAAAGACTAAAGACTCTAAGAATTAGATTATTATTAAAAAAGGCACTGACAAGAATAAAAAAGGCTTCACTCTTGCCTCTAAATATACTATCTAACTAAGAGCTACTTGATAATATTCTATAGGACCTTCAATACATGTTTAACTTGCAAGATACATATTTTACTTGGAAGGCAAGTTTCATCCATGTGCTCCATGTAGCCAATTTGTACCACAAGTTGTCAACATGTGCAACACATGTCCAACTTGTTGGCCAAGTTTCTATCTTATCAATCAACTACAAACATATGTGAAGTCAAATTTGTATCTATGAAGCTTCTATTAAGCTTCTCTACAAAATATACTCAAATCTACCTTCATTTAGCTTCTATTTAATACAACTTATGCAAGTAATTATGTATGTCTCGAACAATACATATTTGTATCTGTTTTTTTTGTAAATATAAATATATATAAATACATTTGATATACAAATATATATATAAATATATTTGACATATAAATATATAATAGAACTTGTTTAATTGCATATTGTATAAATACATAACCTCTCTAAATACAAAATAATCCATTGGACCAACCTCAAGTCTTTAATCAAGGTGCATAAACCTTTCTAATTGCTCATTGCATATTTTTTTACAACTACTTCTCCATTGTATTAATATATAATATATTAGATGTATATGTGTATTTTTATTTATAATTTTTTAAAATTATCTTAATTTCTAAAAAAAAAAATCAAAAGCTAAATTATCAATCCAATATATCTATATTGTCTACAAGCAACAAAAATATGAGAAATTGGTTTTTGCATCAATTGCTTGTTTTTAAAGAGAGCAGCCACATCTTTTATTTATTGAATGTTAGCAATAAAATCTGAGATTTCTTGATCTTGTTGCATTTAAAATGAGTCTAAAACTTATATAAACTTGAGTGTATTAGGGCCTAAGAGTTAGATTGATTCTTAGTTTTAATCATCTTTAACTTCATCTTTAGTTGCAATTTTATATAGAAGATAATTAAAAGTGAGATGGTGAAGATTCAAAATTTTAGTAATGACTTCCACATCCAAGTATTTTAAAAGTTTTTGGATGTCTATTGAATTGGATTAATAGAACTAACAAATTTAGCCTTCTAGCTCCTAAACAATATTTATATTGATAAAGCGGTTATTATATAATAAAATCAATTTCTTCTTTAATCAAAATTTTCTATAGAAAAGGTAATACTTAATTTTTTCCAATTAGATATTGAGATTCTAAGTTAGCATAACCATCCAAATAGCTTTGAGAATGTTGATTGTTTTTGGATTTTCAATGCATTAAAGAAGAAGCCAATTGAAGTGTGTGCAATAATAAGCCTTTAAGTTGTAAATGATATTGGTATTGCAAGGTTGAATCTTTAATGTCGTATTAGAAAAAAGATAAAAATATATTGTATTTTGCAACTAAAAGTGATTTGGAATTTGTATTAGCAAAAAGTAAGCATTGTAATTGTTCAAAATAAAAACTTTGCAATTTGCTATGCATTATTTTAATGCCTTGAGTCACTTTACAAAAATCATCTATCATCTAAGCCTTATTGTTTGTGAAATTGGTGTTCTTGAATTATTGTAGATTACAAAACTTACCATTGATCCATAAAAAAAATTTACTAGTGTCATTTTTATTGCAATTGATAACAAGTACTATGCATTCTTTGTTTTGATTTTTTTCTTTAAATTATTTCATAGAAAATGAGTTGTTTGTTTGTAAATTGACAAATTACAAATCAACATTATATTATGTACAATCATTGTAAAATTCGGGCTTGTGTGCACGTACTCCCACTCTATCACCAGAAACCACATACGATGATTGCGCCTGATTGCCAACAGCGCTGTATTTACTTCATATACTTCATCACATCATGTGCGATGTCGTCCAAGAACGAAACGAACCCCACGCCTGTGCCTATCCCACTGCCATCCACTTCCTGCTCCTCTATCAAGTAACGGTCAAATGCCTCTGTGTTGTCGCGCCCTCCTCTGATCATCAACAGCTTCGGGGTGATGTTCCTCTCCTGCTTCAGCTTGTTTATCATCGACCGCAATCCACCTGATGCCACCGCCACCGCCACCACCAGATGACGTTCAAAGCCGTTGTGCCATGTTCGTGTCAGTGCGTGCTCTGACCCAGATGTACCGATTGCTCACCACATAGATTGTTCACCAGCGGCACCCAACCAACCGACTGCCGCGACGCAAAAACAAACAAACAAACCACACAAAGCAATCACCTCAACATCAACAGGATGGGACTTCCAGAATGTCTTACAGTTCTGGGGCGGAGGGAACGGCAGCGCTGGATCGGCTGTCGGAGAATAATACACGATCAGCGTGGTGAAGGCATCCAGAACGTAGATGGGGCTCCCATTCACCATCAAAGCTGCACGACTCAATGAGTGACGGGGATACGCTCGCCTGTCCAGCGTCTCGAACGATGATAGCACAGGATACACGGCTCTCAACAGGAACGAAGGCTCTAATGCGCTGCCATGACATACCACCACGGACACCCAGTTAAAATGCCACCACTCGGCCAACACCACGCATGCATCCACACACGGAACTGGAACTGGAACTGGAAACTCACGCCTGTCGTGCACACACACCTTCCTTTCACCACAAACCGGATGCGACTCTCATGTCTACTTCGACACGAGCCCAGTGCGGGATCCACGAAAACATCACGTACCTGAACAGGCATTGGAGGTATATTCTGTGATCAGGATGCACTCCTTCTTCGTGACTTCTCAACAACTGGTTCCGAAGTAGCGCGAAAATCAGGCGGGGCAAAGCTTGCAGTTGGGGGCACCCTGAGAACGCCACATCCAACCTGCTGTGAGTGCTGGGCTGTTCGAATTGGGCAAGCTTGCAGTAGTCGTTGTATTGTGCCGTAAGAATCACCAGCCAATCATGCAGGAGGGCGCGTGCTTCCTTCACGCCCTCATCCAAAGATGCTCGAACGATCTGTCATTTGGCAGAGTAGCACGGACAGGTGACTTTTACATATCACCAAAGTTTCTACAAAATTGCATCTGTTTTACAAGACTTCATGAATCACTAAAAGCAGGATCACAGTTACAACAAAAAGTACGCTAGTTCACATTCGCATGACCTGGAACCTTCCGGAGTACCTTGTGTGTTAGGACGGCCAGGATAACCTCGGTGTCTGCGCTCTCGTACAACTCTGTAAAATTAGCAGCTACATCCATTTGCAGGGTGCGCAACCTGAGGCGCCTCTTCACGACATAAGCTTGACTACAACCACATGAAAGCACCACATGTTATGGAACTGTCGGTGATTCGTAATGTGCAGAATAAGGGAGATGTCGAGTTGTGTGACAGAACAATGAAGTATCTGTTGAGTTGGTTACATGATAACAAGAGAGTGAAAAGACGATCTTCCATGTGCAAGCCCGCAAGCCCAGCTGGAGGAAGTTTTGTTTGGAGAAATTGCATGCTCATAATACAATGCAGATGATTTTCAAGACGATTAGATTGTTTTCTTTTGACTAAGTTGGTACTTGAAAGTTGTTGCAATGCATGTACTTGTGACATAGTACGCGGGCGGCTTGTTGCTGATAAGGTTGAGAAACCTTAACAACATCATTATATGCAAATCGATGTTTTAGGTGTCCAGGGTGGAAAGTTCAGTACCTGCCGGATGAGACTGGAACATTGCTTGGATTCCCATTTGCCTGTGAGGTATTAGTGCCTCCGTCTCGAGGCACGAGGATGGAATATTGAAAAGCCATTTGCAAAATAGGTGGGGTTTCCATGTTCCTACAAGGGTGCACTCACAACGCAACCAAACATCTATGAGTAACATGCACGAACAGGAAGAATAATGGCGAGCTGGCCAAAGCACTTCATGCCAGAAAGACGAGCTATTCTTGCTTCTCCATCATTCAACTACACCAGTGTTCATCACCGAGAATTAAACCAAAACCATGCTCCGGGTCTTTCTATCACATTCCCAATAAATAAGGTTGCATAGAGCAAAGAAGGGTTCTCCTCACCTAGTGAAGCCAGACGAACTGTTGAATTCAAAATCGAAGGCGTACGTCGCGAATTGATCACAACAAATAATACGCTGAACGTTGTCGTATTCAGGATCTGGAAAATAATGTCCATACTGCACCCAATTGCCAATCAGTGCATGCCAGAGCGAAGGTTGGACGAAAAGCAGGGCGAAAATATGCTTGAATCCCTACTCAATGGTTCAAAATCTTACGGCAGTGGCGGCCTTGAACTCTGTCGACGTTCGAACACGCAGGATGCATCCAAAAGCATACGGTCTATTGAGCATGCGATATCTGCACGCAGGAACTATTAGAGTAAAACCTCTAACCTGCTCCCATAGCTCACGATCATAGATGACTGCCCCACACTAAGATTTTGCTATAGTGTACTTTGAATGCTATTATAAATTTAAGCACTCTCTGTAGAATTAAGCAGTGCTATTGTTTACGTTCCAAGCGACGAGGGAAGTATATTGACGTACAGGTCTTGTGGAAGGGTGGCTTCTTCAGTACTTGAATATAGCAGCAGGCCGCCACCGCTTTCTATACTCAGATACTTGAGTGAGGCCAAATTAGTGTACTCATTTGTGACAGCAAATAGGTCCACGCAAACGCCTGCTAGCACTGCTTGTGCGGCCTGCAGTAGAAAAAGCTCGTCCCGGTTATGCTGATGCAAGTCAATGAATCCTATTACAACCCACTAACGTATCATCCACTTTCTAAAACATAATACTGCTAATGGTCTCGCCATTAAGAATTCGGCTACGATGGATATAGAAGTCCATCTGAAAGCAGAACCTACATGCCTTCTAGAAATAGAAGCGACAACGTTTATGATACTGACCAAATCTTTGTAATAAGAAGTTTGTGGAGGAAGTAGAGCCTTGTCTGCGTCCTCACCCTTGCTAGAATACTGCTCTCCGTAGCGTCTCGTATCCAGCTGTCCAGCACCGTAATCAGGCGGGCCCGATAGGAAAGCAAATACTCGTGCTGCAATACATAGACAACGCAGCAATTAGAAAATCCGGCACATGTCGACGAAACATATTATGGCGATCACATACACTTGCAGACATGAATTAACCACTACAAAGAACAGAAACAATAAACAAGTACGCCTTCCATTCCACTTCATGCAAGTAAACTCGAGGAATGTTTTATACATGAGGCGAGCATATCGTGAAAAAAACCAAGCCGTACCCATTGCAAATGTTACGCCATATTCAGGACCCAAATAGTTGATGAGAGCGTCCATGGCAACACCAAATCCGCGACCACCCATAGATACACCCTCTACACCTTGTCCTGCTGCTGTAGCTCGCTCCCAAGAGCTTGTAGGTCTCAACGTCTCTAGTGCTGCAGCAATATGTTCCTTGTTGTTCTCCACCTTACATCAGCAGAAAATGCTGTTTATGAGCAACTTTGCATTCCTATCCAAAAGTGAGCGAAAACCGATGTGAAGTAGACATTCACATTGGATTGAATCAACGAGACACATCAGAAATCAAGCAGACGTCGTCTTATAAATGGCCAGCATTCCGATAACAGAGGCTGCGTCCGTCGCAGTGAACGGCTCATAATAACAATGGATCGTGCAAGTGATCGACATGAGATGTAAGGCTAAATAGATAGAAAGTAAGGGGAAGAGTGACCATACTGGAGCAAGAAATGCGGGCAATGGCATGACCATGTCGAGATCGACGGGAAGCTTCCCATCCATATCCGGAGGAATGCTAACATACTTCACAACTGGAACGGGACCTTGCACATCGTATAGTCCTATCTTGTGACTAAAGGTAATCAACCCGAACAGCGCACCTGCATTTAAGGCTGCCGCATGTAACACACGCCACGTCAGTGTCTTCCAATGCTAATACAGTGTTGTCCAAATTTTGCAAGGTCTGAGACGATACCAACATTATATTACATAATACATAGCATAGCCTTTCATTGACGAGCGTATAGGATGAACACAATAGAGTTGCCAGCTGCAGTATGATAAACAAATATATTCTTCAGGTGTTCAGTCGTTCACGAGGAACTGAAAAAAGAGAGAACCTTCAAGAGCCGCAAGGAGGGAACTTTTCACTAGCTCTAAAAACTCTTCGGAAGCTGCAGCAAACAGAGTGGGATCTGTCAGTGGTGCTCATAAGTAGCCCAAAGGATAGACCTCACGCGATTGTTGGACAAATGTCTTAAGACACGAATGTCCTCTCGCCCAGGGAATTAAGGAATATATATATATATATATATATATATATATAAACACTCAAAGATTGCCTTCGAAACAAACTTAAGTTCATCTCACCATAAAGAGAGTGCCTCAGTGTCAACACCAATCGAGTTACAAATCGTGATACAACAAGGGCATGCTCATTACCTGACAGATCCACTGCTGCTACAAAGACGGGCCTGGCTTGAAAATCATCTACTGGATTATCCTCGTTATCTGCTTGATGTCATCAGCTTGAGAAAATCAATTAACAACAAATGTGTCGTGAAGGTGTATGTCACCTTCTGCATGCATTACCAAAACAAAGAAGTGATAATCTTTAGCTGCTCTGTTGCAGTATGTTGGACGTGTGCAACTATTCACTTCGCTTAATCACAAATAAATTGGTACTCGAAGTGAGAGTGAGGCCAATTCAGAACAGTTGCTTCAATGCAACATAAATCAAATTTGGTAAACCATGGATTAATTTCATCTCGATTAATTTACGCATCATTTACAGTTCCCAAGGCACAAAAACCAAATCACAAATGTAATCGGCTCTAGTGGAGATCACGACTGATGAACTAGAGCTAAACCAATGCGCAGTTGAACATGTTACAAAATCCTATTCCAGGAATGCGCCGAATCCGACTAATTAAATAATAGACTTTAGGTCATCAAGATCAGCAAACGCACCAGTAATCAAATTCAGAAGACCAGGCTACAACTCCACATTGCCAGTGCATCTTACCATCATCAAGCTCCACGTCGATAAAAGAGGACAAAACTTCTGGACGCGGCGACGACGATTGCCAATACCGCGCAGCCTCCTCCTCAGAGAATGCGATCAACTGGCCACAGAGCGCACACGTCCAGGCCCACTTGTCGATTTCACAAAACGAATTGAGATACGCCCAGCAGCTATCACATCGCGGCAGCGCCTCCCCGCGATCGCCTTGCTCAGGAGGCCGCTTGAGCTCGTCCGTCGCAGCGAACGGCTGCACCGTGACTCCCCATGGGATCCCGCATCCTTCCTGCGCTTCGTTGTCCGCGGGACACCGCCCCAGCGTCCTCCTCACGGACATGGCTTCCTCCTCCTCCTATTCCTCCTCCTCGTCGTCGTCCTCTCCCGATCCCTCTCGCAATCCCGTCTCTACACCAACCACGCCACACAAACTTCATTGAAGCCGGGGCATGGCTCGGCAAGAGCTTGTAACAAACCCCGATGGCCCATGACGAGCCTCGCTTGCACTGTCTGGTCAAACGCGCAAATGGCGATCCAATGGCGAGGACTGAAACAAGAAGAAAGGACTTCCAGACTTCTCCGTTAAAGTTTCACGGTAAAACAAAGTTTATCGAGTGGGGTCTATAGAGTAAAGTAAAAATAAAAAAGCAATATCTACGAAAGTGGGGATGTGAGAGAGAGAGAGAGGATCTTGGTTTGACTCTTGAACCTCTCTGCCATGCTACCTCCCTAGTCAGAGTATGAAGATGAATATTTTTAGTGCATCTTCATTCCAATCAAGCATTTTGGTGGGTGAACATTTTTATTTTTGGTGTGTTTAGTTATTTTAGATTCTTGGTAGCTCTCAAGGAAGATAGTGAGTTTGAGTGTGGGTTTAAAAGTGAGGAGTCCATATGTGAATATTTGAGCTTAAAACATAAAGTAAGTCATAACTACTTGTTTGGACTTGGTTTTAAATTCATGTTCTTTTCCATGAGAGATTTTGGTCATATTGTGTAAATTGTTTTGTCTAGAGTTTGTTGATTGTGTTGTAAATTTTTAAATCAAATAATTGAAGGAGAATTCTACTTTGAATGTGGATGAGAATCTAATAGTAATTTTCACCCTCTATGCACAAGTCTAGGGATTGTTTTTCTAAAATAAAAAAGTAGGTGGATAGAAGTTTAACAAAGAATAAAGAATAAAAAATAAAAATAAAAAACAACTAAAGAATAGGAAGCCACCAAAGAATACAACTTGTTAGAGAGTTTTTAAACTAAAAAGATGATGGAGCATAATTCTTAAAGGGAATTAATTTAGGGCATTGAAGATGAGTCTAAAACCTATGAAGTACATCCATATTTTTTCTTCAAATTTATTTTAATCATTATTTTGATAAAAATAATAAAATAATAATAAAATAAATATATATTGATGTTGAAAAAAATTATTTTTAGCTTAATAACAATATGCATAAAATAATTTTTAATATGCATTAGTTTAATTTTGACTTTAATTTCTAAGTTATTGTATTTAATATTGGCATTAGTAAAACTAAATTCCCTCATACATAATTTGTTTTACTTTGTTATGTTTTAATATATGGTGTTGTCATTTGTTGTATTGTATTATATTTCAATGCACTGTAGTCTTTAACATTGGTATAGTTGATTTTTTTTATTCATTCTTAACTTTTTTTTATGTGCTATTTTTATATATTATTAGTCGAAGGATCTAATATTTATATAAAAGTTGGAGGTTTCAATATTCTTAGTTTCTTGCATAAAGGCTAAATAAAAAAGCACCATTGGTAAAAATGTAAGAATTGGTATATATATTAAAATACAGGATGTAAAAATAAAGAGACATCTTTTACAAAACTAAAATTATTAGTATTCATAATTAATTTTTTACTTAGTATAATTTAAATATAAATTATTTACATCTCTAGAATAAATTTTCTACCACAATTTCATTTTATTTAGCTTGCTGCAATAAATCTTTAAATTTAAATGAAAATTGAATATAATTACTAGCTAGTAATTTAAAAATTTTGTGGTAAAAATAGAACTCAAAGAACTTCTAATTGATTGTCTAAAAGCCAAATATAAGGGTGGCATTATTGCTGTTGCACAACCTTCAGCACAAGTCATTTAGACTTAAAGCTTAAGGCTTATTTTTTGCAACAGCAATTTCGACTAAGTTTAAATAAATAAATGATTTAATTCTTAAAAAATCAAAATAAGCATGGTTTTTCATTTAGTTTTAGAAATATTGAATTTAAAATTTTAAAAGCAACTTTTTTAGAAACGAATACACATAAACATGTATTTTTTGAATTAATTATCTTCTTAAAAATTTTATTCGTTATTTATAAAAAAAAATTGTGAACTGGTTGATTTTTCTTATTAAAATTAACCTAATTATTTTTGAATTTGTAATTTATGAAAAAAAAATAATTGATCTATCTTATTATATTTGATTACAACAAAAAGTTGACATTGTAGTCTAAAACCACTTACTTGCTTTGATCCTTTGGAGTTGATTTTGTCTACATTTTAATTTTTTTGATATTTTTAATAGTAAAATAGAAATAAATCATCTTCTCTCTAAAACTTTAGAAGACATGTTTTACAACAATATGTAATTTAGAAGCTAGATATTGATTGAAATTGTAAATATAAAATTTTTAAAATAAAACATATTGTATGACTATACGATTTTTTTGTAGTAAATATAAGTATAATCTCCAAATTCTATTTGACTTAGTATTCTAATCTCTTTACTTCATTTGAGGTTTCTTAGTTTTATCTTGTTGTGCAAAATCGTTGATTTCTTAAGAAAAAATTTAACTTAAATAATTATTTTTATGTGCTACGTATTTTTTTGATTTTTTGATTTTTTAATTTTAAATTAAAATATAATTCAAAGAAGAAAAAAATTAATATTTTAAAGTAAAAACTAAAACATCTAGTTGCTTATAAAACATGACCATTATAGAAAAACCCATTATAAGTAAGAATGTTTTTGACTCTAAGCTTTTGCTCAATCAATCATTAATAATCTGAGTTTTATTGCATAAAAAAAAGAGGCTATTTGTTGCATTGTACAACTTTTTTTTTTTTTTTTTTTTTTTTTTTTTACTTAAATTTTTGTGATCTAAATATGTAGTTTATTTATTACACAATGTTTAGATTTTAGCTAAAAAAAAAAAAAAAAAAAAAAAAAAAAAAAAACTTAAGTAGCTTATGACAAGTTCTTCATAAGCCCTTCCAAGTCTTGATAATTATGCATCTATTGCATTTTCTAATAAATTATATATTTTTATTTTTTAAATATATATTTTAAATTATTTATTTATATCAATGATATTTAAATATTAATTAATATTAATTTTTTTATTAATAATTTATAAGTTTTATTATTATAAATTATTATTATAAATTATTATTTATTTAAATACATGCTTATTTTATAATTAAAAATAAAGTCAATTAATATGCCAAATAGATATATTGGTTGAATTTTAGCATAGATATTGATTCAATCAATTTTAAAATAATTTTATGTTTTATACTCTTAAAGATATCAACAATATATCAATATTATTATAATATTAATTTAAAATAATTTATATTTTTTATGCATTAATATTTTTAATTGGAATATTTTCTATAAGCAAGTAATAAAAAATTCTAAAGTTATTTTATAATGAAAAATGTTGAAAAAAATAATAGTTTTGATAGTTTCAAATTTCTATATTACATAGAAATTTTATAACTATTCTATTTTTAAATTTATTATACTAAAGAAAACCTATTTAGAAAGATGAATGATTTTATAATCGTTGAAATAACCTTAAATTAGTGATATTAGTATATAATAGAGATATTTTTGTAATAAAAATATATTATATAAAAGTTACCAAATGAAGTTCTTATAATAATTTAAAACTTCTCAACAATTTAAATTGATGAATAAACATATGTAAATAATTTAATTTTATTAAATTAATTTATTATTATTTTTACATCAATTTATTTAAAAAATATATATTTTAAAAAAATCCAATTTCACATATAATATACATGGAAGATGTAGAATTAAAAAAATAGTATATAATATTATGCAAGTTATTGCATTGTATATGTATATTAGAAATTGATTAATTTAATTTGATTTGATTTGATTTATTTTTTAGTACTCTTTTTTAAAGAATAAATAAATATACAAAAAAAATAATTTTAGAACTTTAAAACTTACTTCAGTCTTCTATAGTTCTTATTTGTAGCATGTATACTATCACACCCTAATCAATTCAAATTATAATGGATCTTAAGTAATATATATATATATATATATAGAATAAAACTTTTCAAGTTTTTAATTGTTTTTATCCAAGAATGGAGATTGAAGAGGAAGGTGGGAGGAAGAAAGATGAGGAGAATAGGAGAGTTGGGATAGGGGTCGGAAATAGAGGGGCTGAAACATGGACGAAGAGAAGAGAAGAGTTGAAATGGGGGCTAACAACAAAGACAAGAGGTGGTTCAAGATGAAATAGAATTGATTTTAAATAGTGTAAATTTGTGATTTTGAATGGTGCTAATAATCTCATCTAATTAATAATTTTTGTGGATAGACAAATAATCATTATATTGGTATATTTTTTAATTATTATAAATATAAATATAAATATATATATATTTATATATATATAAATATATAAAATATTAGAATAAAATAATAATAATGATATAATTATTGAAAGTAATATAGTTGTAAGAATTTTTACTAACATATTTTAAAAATGATTTTTCTTGTAGTTGGAATAATATTACCATTTTTATAGAAATATTTTAAAATGATATTTATGGACATATTTTTATTTTTTCAAAATCACAAAATTTTAGATATTTTACATCTATTTTTTTAAAAAAATTAACTTCTAATTTATATAGATGTGCTTCTAAAAGCACAAGTTTCCAATAACTTTATAGAACAAGGTATAATTATTGGTGCAAAATTTTATATTTATGTAGAAATATATGTTATAGAAAAAAAAATGTGAGATGCTTAATCACACTTTGTTTCATTAAAATGGTTGGGACAACAAGATGATTATATTAAATTTAAAAATTAAGAAGAATCATACAAAAATAAATTTATTATAATATAAGAAAAACCAAGTCAATTATTTTATTTCATTAATTATGCATATACATTACATTTAATATATTGTATGTGTCAAGGACATGAAGCTCAAAGAAAGAAATCTTCAATACACTCTTTTATTATTCTAAAGAATTTAAAAGTTACTCAAAGATAGTATAGTATTAAACTGAAATGACTATTGCCAAAGATAAGAAAATAGATATGTAAATTTTTATAAAAGTTACGATTTGTGAGAAATGGAGATTTTAAAAAAAGAAAGAGGTTGGACAACAACCTTATAGGAAAACAAATTGATGCTTTAGACATCAAGTGGCAGCTTGAGGCTTATGGTGGTGGATGGTTAATAAGGTGCTTGAGTAATATCTAAGAGGTTTTGGATTCAA